ACAAACACAACAAGCTGCAGGAAAACAGATATGTTGCTAGGGTTTATACACGCAGCTTTTTTAAGTAGCAGGAGAAACTACAGTGGACTGGGTGATACAGGCACGGTACCAAGCAAGAGCCCCTCCACTTTTGACACCTTTCAGACAGAGAAGTCCCTCATGCAGTGATCCATGCAGAAAGGTCTGGGTGCCGCACCTCTATAAAGGATGCAAAGCAATGAAACCCACGGACATGGCAGGACATGACATGGGAGGTGAGGGGTCGGGTGGATTCCCTAAAAGCTCCGAGCATACCTGAAGCATTCGGAGCCAGGCTAGCACACAGCGGAAACAAACACAAGCGAGGGCAGTGAGCCTATCTCAGGCTTTTTTCTCATTTAATTTTGGATTAATCACTGAGCATTTGCATACAAGCCTGGAAAGAGAAGCAAAGCTCTAGTTCGTTAACAGCTAGGCAGAGATACTGCTGCATAAGCAAATACCATACAACTGAAGGAGGCGGAGAATGGAAATTGCTTTTGGCTGCTAGCTCAGGCTTCTGGTGCGCACCAAGAGACGAGGAGACAGAACAGTTCAAGGATCACTTTAAGCTGTGCAAGCCGATAATCTCTGAAGGCCTGTAACATAATCAGTGTTCTCCAGCAATCTGGAACAATACCTTCTGATCCCAACACGAGTGATGCCAAAACAAGGACAGTCGAGCCACTCATGCCAGGTTTGTGTCATCTGAGAACAGGGCAGGCTCAAGAACGCCTGTGAGGCCAAGGACCTGACTCCTGCTGTGGTTTGGGTAAGTTTCAACGCCTCGCAAGAAGGAGGTATTTTGGGAGAGCCCTCATGCTAAAATGAAGTTTTTTGGAATGGAGGCAATCTGCGCAGCTGCAGGCATCATGCATTAAAATGTCACTCTTCTACTCCTCTGCAGATTATGTTTTCATGAAGGTCTTAAGTTGAAGATAGCTAAAATCTTAAATCTGGTTTTGTTCTGGTTTGTTTCGTGAATTCAGCTGAGTTTGTAGCAGACACAGAATAACCCTCAGAACTAAAAGCATTTGATTAACTGAACAAGTTGATGTATGGCTTACGCAGAGAACAGACCTAACAGACTTCCAGAGCTGGAACCGCCTTTTCCCTTTAGACTTAGTTCTTCAGAACAGCCTCAGGGGAGCCTGAACACTGCCCACACCCACCACTTGTGATGCCAACGGGTTGCCTGGGACCGTGCTGAGGCACTACTCAGCTGGCAACTTTCACGGGCAGTAATTAAAAAACCCCACAACTTCTACTTTGTAGTCATGATGGAGTTTATATGCTGTATCAGTGCTGCTCATCCGACTCCCCTCATGGATACAAGAGATTTTGTGTAAGAACACAAATATTACTTTTTCTACTACTATTTAAGCCTGTTACTACATACAGAAGCTGTAAATAGTGCTGACCTGATTACAACCTTATTCTCATGTAATAAAAATATTAATCCCATGAACTGGTACAGAAGTTCCCCAGCATTTTATCTGTATTACTGAATTCAGGATTATGGTCAGCTATGTGTAAGCAGTTTCTAGGGCATTGACTGGCCCAGGCTTAAACAGATTTTATTTTTAATATAGCAATATCACCCAGAGGTAGAATAAACCACTGTGTGATGAAATTAGCTGCTACACTGTGGGCACCCTACAGAAATAAGTGATTACCTCATTTACTAATGACTCGTGAGAAACAAATTCCCTATGTATGTTGTTCCTTAGCTACTGTTCTAGAAAGCGGCTCAATCTGTTAACTGAGCAGAATAAATACCTAATTAAATTAAATCTCCAACAAGCCTGAGAAAAATGTATTGAAAGCACTCTGCTTGATTACAGACATTGGTAACAGACCTATTGATCTGGCCAACTTCAAGCTTATTCACTTCACCCAATTTAATTTGAGAAGAACAATAACTAAATTTTAGTTGGATCTCCCTTCCCACTCTCCAGGGAAATAATTTGAAGTGACTCTGAGTTCAGGTGGCATACAGAAAATATTTAATAGGTCAAAGAAAACATTTATTTTGTTGCAACTATGGACACAAAGTTACATTAAAAATGCAAATATGGTTTCCAGTGCAACAATTACATAGTGCTGCTGACAGGGTCATATGCCATGCACAAACTTCCCTGGTGGGGGCAATAAACCACTTGTTCCGCAAGTTCAGGACGATATTAAAAAACATATATCAATAAAGTCCTGTATAGGTGCAAACTAAATGAAAACGACTGAAGAAACCCAATCTGCCAGCTGTGCCTGAATATAGAGGCTCCTTGACTTTGTTATGCTCTGTGCCAATCCAACATTAACCCTTCGTCTGCTGGGCAAGACACCTACCCAATCTGTCCAGGAAGAATTTCTGTAACTAACGAAGAATGAACATTTAAACTAGCTTGCTGTATACGAAAGACAGCCCACAGTCTCTACAGAACCCTTCAAGACTTACCCTGTCCAGGGTTGGTGGTCTGAACACAATTCGGGCCCGTAATGTCCCACTGCTGCTACCATCCGACAGTTGCTCTAGCCACTTACATGAAACAAGCTGATGACTTCAATTCTGTTTTCACCAGAGATGCTTCCATACCAGACAGACAACAGCAGAACATGCGGCATCCCTGCTAACTGTTCCAACAGAGAGGCCAGCAACCACCAGGTCAGCACGATTAACACGCTAACCTTTCAGTCCCAGGCCCTGCTTATACGAAGGAAATTGAAAAGTATTCAGCAACATAGCCAGTACTTATGTAGCTCTACAAACGCTTGGTTCACTGGGGATTCCCATGTAGACTGACCAAGTCAAGCACTACCCGCGTGCACAGAACTAAACAGCATTCTCCTCTGCACCTAATCCAACCCTCTGCTACCACTGGCAGCCAGACAAAACTTAACAGTTTTGTGCAGAGATACTAAGGCTAGCTCTAGAATTAATGCAGCTGTATTTACTGGGCCAACTAAAAGTATGCTTTTTGGATTTCCTTTGGATACAGTTCTAGTGTATAGGTATCCCTGCATGGTCATACATCTCGTTACACAAATGTAACTTTAGTATTTTAGAGCTCCATTTTCTAAGTAGTTTATCAGTAGCCTTACTCCTTATGATTTCTTCAGAACCACAATCCTCGTCTTTGCTAGACACCTCATAGTCTAATTTCTGGCCTAACATAGGTTTATATTAATCTGTTCTTGCTCCAGATTTATCACTGAGTTTGAACAGCCATTAGCCCCCACTTTTACTTGCTTTCTCCAGCACTTGTAAAAAGAAATCAAATTCAGATTTTGCTTTGCCAAGTTGAACAGGACAATCTCTTTAAGTTACTTCTCCAAGTAAGCCACCCATTTCTTAGACCATCTTCTACATCTTTTTGCCAATTTAAACTGAACCTTTTCAAGCATGAGAGATAAGAACTGCATATGACATTCTGGATCAGATCTCACCACTCTTTATACAGAATTTCCAATCTCTACTGGAAATAACTTACCTGGTACATTGTAGGCCTGAATTTGCCACCATACATGAATACACCATACAGCCATGCTGATCCCTGAGGGTACAAACACCAATTCTTTCCCCTTTTCTTTTCTTCAACTGAGGAGCTCCTGGCTGTCAGCATAAATTCTTTTCAGCACCTTAACTTGCATTCCATACTTCTTAAAATTTAAGTCTTTTTCTATTAATTTTATCCTCAAGGCCATCTAATTTTTTTCTTGTTGGATATCCCAATATTCATCTGTATCATCTGTAATGTCAATATCTCCATTTATGTAAGCAAGTTTCACAAGCAGATACCTCTCTTCTCTGCCTGCTTCCCCCCCACCCCCAAACCTGCAATAATTCACCAGGTGCATCAATTCTACTTCTGTAGCTCAAGGTGTAGTATTGCCTCTGTTTAAAAATAACTGTCACTACAAAACCAGTCCAAAACCTTCAGGACTGAAAATGACTTACACTTATGGTATATAATTTTACAAAGGAAAAGTTGAAGTTTTGTATGTTTTATATGATAGCAGATTACTATCCTTCCCTTACCACACATACCTTTTTTTAGTGTTGAGAGAGGCTAGACAATTTGCAAAGGTAATTTGTGGCTCAATATCTGAAGACTGAAGGTCTCACACAATGCAGCTTCATGCTAAAATGATACAGTCACTACAGAACAATGTTGTTTTAGAAACACAGTATTTGCACAAAAGTCGATCTGCTTCCAGTAGGTGAAGAGCAACACTTCCAATAATTTTACCAAAATACGGTGGTCTAAATTGTCCCTCAAATTGAGCACAAACTTGAACTGCCTGCTTTAGAAACAAAATTAATTCACATCTAGCCAAAAGTCTGCAGATTTAACAACGACAAAGTTAACAAATTTTAAAAGTAACAGAGATTGCAGTCATGTTCCCTTGGATCTTTCACCTTTTTTGTGAACAAATTTCCATATTTTTTTTTTACTTTGGACTCTACACAAAACACAAGGCCTTTATGTGACCTTGCAGCATCATAAAATGTAGACGGGGAAGCAGGACATGGCTGGGACTACTCATTGTTCAGTTCAGAGAATTATTACCCACTGACAGGAGTCCTGCTCTTTTTCTTTCTCCTAATCACAAATTGAATTACCATCAAAAACAAAGAAATATTTGTTGTTTACAGGAAAAAAATGCCTCACAGGAAAATACACTAAATGAACATCTGCTTTCTCTATAGACAAGTTACATATGCTTCCTTGGAGATGAATATCAGGTTTTCTGTTAACACATTATTTCTCACATCAGGTTGTTGTACACCTTGGCTGTTCATCACACACTCTTTTTCAATTATGTTCAGTTTTGTCCTAGTGCTGTAACTTGTATAGCTCAGCTCTAAAAACAAAAAGCCCTACAGCCAGTACAGGAAGTGAGATTAAAGAGAAACTTGTTCTGGTGACAAAGTTATACAGGCTAGGGGGAACAAGAAGCCATCACCTATGCAGCAGCCTTACCCTTCTACGCAGTCTGTCCCTTTCTTCACGAATAGCGTTCATGGTGGCCTTGGTCCTGTTCAGCTCCTCCTCTTTGCTACACAGCATGGCCGTGAGACTCTCGTTCTCTTCCCGCAAGCCAGCCAGCTCCTTTTCCCATCGAGATCTCTCTTCAGACAGATTTGGATAAAGGTCACGTCCCAGTACACCCTCAATCTCTTCTACGGTCTGCAAAAATACAGTCATCAAAAACCAGAAAGAAGCAGAGAAAGATGCCTGAACAAGACTCATGGCACACAGGACAGAAGTGTGCAACAGACAGCTATATATACTTATATGTACACACCCAGCCCCACAACACTATTAGTTTGCTTCTAATAGTAATATCAAACACAATCATTGCTTATTTTGAGAGTTCGACCATTTTATTAAAATACTTCACACTGACCAACACCAAAGCAGACAGATGTTTTGTACGCGAATAAAACACGACACCCGTCAGTGACAACAATACCAGTAGTTTCATCTCAGAACACTTCAAAACAAATCAATGACTCCTTGTCATGGCTGAGCACTCTGCTGCTTGTTTCCCTGCCTGAGTAACAGGCAGAAAGTAGCAGCCTGTGAAGGTGCATGGCACGGGGCCTTAGTTCTATACCAACTCTGCAAAAGGGACAGGAAAAGAGTGGGACAGTAAAAAAACAGGACTCTTCTTTCCCATGTCTCTGAGCACATTCTTTCCTAGAGGTAACAAAGAGATAACAGAAAAAAAACTGGCCTTGGCTAGGCTTACATTATATCAGATGATGTTACAGCCTTTCTAGTGCCTAGAAAAGGACGGGTTTCTCTGGGATGTATAATGCCATTCAGCATTTCCCGCCCCATCCCCTTGTACAGAGCTGTGCCTTGTAGGCAACGTTCAGCATGAAGGATATTCAGCAACTTCACTGGGTGAAACTAAACTACACCACCAGCAAGGGAATACTGCCGTGCCTAAATTTACCATCTGACCGGTCATTCAGCACGCTCAAACACAGCATTAATGCCCAACACATCAGGTAACCGCATGCAGTTCTCATTCTACTACACATGCTGTGCCTGTGTTGATTTTTTTCACTTATGGAAGACCTTTGCAATAAGCAAAAACCCTCCAATTGTTGCTTATAATATTTTTAATCTCTCTGAAAAAATAGGAAGAAACGTGGAAAAATAAATGAATATATGACGCAACTAGCAACCTAGAAAATTTCATTTCATTGGATAATCCAAGAACAAGTTGTAGCTAAAGCATATACTTTTAAGTTTAATGTGGAAGATAAATAACTCATGTACCAAGTTTAATTAGTGTGTTTAATTGTTTTATTTGAAAGGACTTAACTTTTATATATAACAAAAATTACTAACTGAAGTTTATGTCCTTAATTTGGGAGGGACTAAAAGAATCAACTAGAGTACAGCTGAAAATGACAAACCAAGTTGAAGATACAACTCCACTTTTTTTCTGCAAAAAATCTTCACAGTGTTTTCAGCACTGTCTGACACTGAGGTATCACTGAGGTTTTATTATTTGCTCATTATAATGAAAAGTTGGTTATTGTTATCAATACATTAATCTTGAAGACAAAATATTGGCTACAGCAAGACTCCTTAGTGAAGAGGAAAAGACATACAAAAGGAAAAAACCTATTTCTGACAACTAGTTCAAGATGCCTCTATAGAAGAAGCAGGGACAAAACTTTTGCAGTCAGGTTCAAGTTTATCCTTTTAAATCTTACTTCAAGTCTCTCTTCCATAAAGCTGCAATATGTTTAGAGTCATAAATATGAAACTACATTGAGAGACTCTCTACACTATAATTCTGCTTACATATTTGGTAGTAAGCTTAAATCACTTTTCTAAAAGAGCAACGCCTTGCAACATCTCTGGAAGATGAAAGAAGCCTTAAATTAGTTTCACTTGGATCTCTAGGTCTCAAACTACAACAAGGTAAGTTATTTCAACACAACGTGAGGATGAGTTCCAGTTGTGAATAAGCATAGGGCAGTTAATCTTACAACACGAAAAAAGCTCTGTAATGGCAGGCGCATTCTCTCTTGATGCTGCCACCTTTATTTTAAACTGTGCCTCTTTGTTGCTGTCTTTTCCTCTCCCTTCTTCCCCCCAAACTCCCCTCCTCTTTCATGCACTTCCCCTGCTGTTTCCTCACACTTCTAATCCCAAGTTCCACTGCTGCCTTCTTCCTCCTTATTCCCCACGCTCCCAGTGCTACTATTTTTCCCACCCCTCACTTTCCCAAGCCTGTTCCCCTCGGAGCGTTACTGGGGGTGATAAGCCCGGAGCAACACTGAAAGAGGAAGGACTGTCATAAGGAAGCAGCAGCAGTTGCTCAACACCACGGAGGTATCTTCAGATAAAGAGGCTGCCGCTGTTTCTCCAGACTCCATTGCCACCACCTGCCCACACAAGTACAAATTTCAGGCAGTGACAGCACTAGCATGAGTCTCACAGTCGCACTAAGAGCTGTAGTCCTTAACGAAGCTGAGGAACCTTTCTGCTTGCTTCTGTGCTCCTTCATTTCGACATGATCAATATCCCTTTGCTTACTAAACTATTATCACAATTCTCTGTTTTGATGACCGACATGCTACCATCCTCCATGGTAAATAAAACATAAATATTGTACATAGTTATAGCTACCTAAACTACTACGTTGTTTACTTTTCTTCAAAGCAGTATTACAGACTAGTTTTACGCAGCATGCTGCTGTACACCAGATAAATTCACGTGTAATTTCACGGATTATAGGACTGAATTACGATGTAATGTTCCAAGCCCAGGGCAGGATGTCATATCATGGTCATTCCAATCTCGTCTCTGACATTGCCATCAGTACTCTCTGCCTTAGTTTCCTTAGAAGAGGTGTTGTGTTACAGACATGGCATCAGATAAGTATCAGGTTTAAAAGAAGCAAAAAGCAGCACTTTTTCACAAGGCATAAGTCGACAGTAGAATTTATTCCTGCCAGAATTTACGGAGGCCAAAAATTTAGACAGGTTAAACAACACATTAGATACAAACATGGAAGAAAATTCTACCCATGGTTATTAAACACAAAGACATCATCTCTGACCCACGAAGTTCCTAAACCCACCTTGCTGGAAGCTTCTTTGAAGGAAGGACAAGAAGGACATACTATACATGTCTTTTTTGATGCAGTCTTTCCGTTGGAATCTGCTACTAGACAAGACTTTTGGTCTGGCCCAGTGCAGCTGTTCTCATGTTCTTAATAGCTCATGTTTGAAAATATTTACATATTTTTTTTAATTGGTAGAGTTTTAGTGGCAGGTATCTGTTAGTTGCTCTTCAAAATATACAAAGCATTAACCAGCCTAGTCTGTGGAAATTTTCTTAAACAAAGGATAATTTTGTAACTGTTCAGTTTATCAGACAATCTGATAAATCTCATTTCAAGGTCTTTTCATTCTTTGTGGGACAGGAAAAACTGAGCTAGCAAGGGTCACATGATTTGTATAAAAGAAGTAAAAAAAATAAAAATTTGCCAGCAACATCATTAAAAGAAACCCAGTGAAATTAAACCATCAAAGCAGAAGGATTCAAAACATTAGTCCACCAGTAAAGAAAAAGGAGAACAGGCAAAGCAAAACACAGAATGTTTCAGGTTTCTGTTCATGATTCCACCTGTTTTAAAAACCTCTCAGTTCTCTGTCTGAGGAAGCAGTAAAGGAGAAATGACCTGCAGCTATGGGTGGAATTGTGGAGAGGGGCTCTACGTGTAGGTTTTGCTGTATTAAACACATTTGTGACACACACATCCTTAGCACATAATCAGTGCATGTCAGAGAGATTTCTATCTTCCTGAAAGGTTAATAACCTTTGCACGCTATCACTTGTCAAACACAAACAATCCCAGGCTCTACAGCACAGGCAGTAGGGAAAAGCTCTCCCCAAAAATGGCTATGCATGCAGAGATCACATGAAAATAAAAGGCCTGCATTTTGGACCAGGAGGAAGCTGCTGACAGTTACTTATCATCATGAAAGTTTGATTGTAGTTAATTTGAATCAACAGTAAATAATGGGGTTAAAAGAAAAAGCTTGAGAACTAAGCTTATGGGAGCTATTTTGACATTTTGTTGCATTCACCTCCTGCAGAATTTTTCACCTCATCTCAATTCAGAGACCTGTGTGGACCTCACACAGATGAAGATCCTGTTTTCCAGGATCCACAATCTCTCTTTTGGTGAATACTGACTTCTGAGAGCACTTAACCCTAAAACTCCAGATAACACTGGGTAATGTTCAAAGTATTGATCCTAATCCTCTGAGACACTCAAATAAACTGCTTTAAGACCATTCCCAAGAGACCCAGAAGGCAGCCTGTCTCTCTCTCTCTCTCTTTCTGAAATATATTCACGTTCTTCATACTACTACTCACCATTAATTTCTTTATAGGCAGTTATATTCCACAGGCACCACCAGGGACAGAGGGGACCTTTCCCAGTAGCATGCCAAAGAGCCGTCTAAGCCATCTAGAACAGTCACAGACCTCTCCACTTAAGAGCAAACTGTCAATTTATTTGTTCTTATATAAATGAGTCACTGACACCTTGCCATCTGATACAAAAAAACTTGTTCAGCTCTTTCCCTGTATATAGTAAGATACTCTATGGTTCCCTTGCTTTCTCCCTCCATTACATATGCTATTAGGCATCCCTCTTCTTGTTCTGTCACATACACAATAAAACCAAGACATACAAGTATCAGCCGAGTTATTTGTTCCTGTGTCTGGCTTGTCTCATTAGAATTAATATACCACACGTGCTTTGTGTTAAATACTAGCTTCACATTTTAAGACAGGAAAGTCACAACTTACTCATAGTTTATGTCATTTTACCTTCAAATTTCAGCAAGTACATACTGTGTTTTCAGTTACCGGTCAATGACAAGGTGTGTGACCTTGGGCAAGTAACAACTTTTTTGCTGGATAACCTTCAGAAGGTAAATTAACTGCTGAGTGTCCCCGTTTCTCTTATCTCTGAAATGAGCATAAGGCAAATACATCTCTGATTTGAGATTGAAAGTCTACTAGTACCTCCTCCTGTGCCTTGAAAAATTCACTGTAAAACAGGTATACTACTGCTTACCCAACACACACTGTGAGCTGGAGTTGATTTCTGTGAAGTACTTTGACACTTTTGGAAGTAAAGTGCTATTACTACAAAATGTGACCAGGTGTCTCAGGCAATGTACACGCTGCATTTAGAGCCTAATGTTACCGTTACCTTAATGGCTAAATCACAATGTTCGCTTGCAGTAGTGAGTTGTTCAATATGTCTATCCACTTCTGCTACTGACAAACTGCAGCTGCTTTTCTTCCTCCCACAGACAACATTTTCCAGACCTGTCAGCACTCTTTGCAGTTCTGAATTCAAGTCACTACAGTTATCTGAAAGAAAGCAAAGAAAAACAAAACAGATATCGCAACAATTAGTGACTCAGTGAAAAAACAAACTCTAACCCAGGAAGTGCCTGTTCCTGCAGAACAGCTAGGACTGATATTGTTCAAGGAACGTCCTTGCAATCTGCCACTTTTTCCTCACCAACTGATAGGCTTAAATACCACAACCATATCCACTGAAATCACAAGTTATGTCCCATCTGACAAATAACACTTCACCTACTTACCTGTAGTGTTCATTCTTTCTTCAAAAACCTCTGTTTTCTGAAGGACAACATTTTAAGACATGACATGCTCACATACTATGCCATTTCTTTTTTGTTATTATTTTTGCCATACAGGGCCTATTATCCTGATTTTACTACCCTCAAAGGTGGCGGGTTTTTTTTCCGTAAATTCAACATTTTTTTCTGCCTGGTACATTCACTGACATTATGAGCTGACATTTTTCAGAGGCATTTTTTGTAGTTGTACTTTCGTACTGTGTGATTTAAAAAATCCTGGTGTTCATATAAATGATCCCTACTGACTATCTGAGAGCCTATGCTTGATTTTTATAGCTATTTCTTCATCAAACGCAACTGCAGAATATTCAGGGATCATGACAGCACACCTCGTTGTTCGCTATGTTCCATACTACAACCATATTAGCAGCATATACAACAACGCTAGTTAGTATTTCTGCCTTACTAGTTAAGAGTTTGCAGCAACTACCAAGTTACACAAGTGATGCACTGTGAGACAGGAGTGCACCAGCAGTTCCTACACCTTACTAAAACCAGCGGAAGGCTTTCTTGCTGGAGGGTGTTATTTCTATAGTACTGCTGCAACAATTTCACCCTGGTCAGAATTCCCTAGTGGCCTCATAGCTGTGGTTCTTACAGCGGACTAAAGCACTGTAGCATTGAACCATGTCTGAAATTTAGCAGGCAGGAGACAGCAGATTATTGTAGACTGCCTTGAAATCTCTCCGTACAAGAGAAGACTGCAAGCGGTTGGATAAAGGGATGAGATGATCAGAAAGTAAAAAACTGTAAACTCATTACCACAAATCTAACTCCACAGCCTAATGCACATAAACGTGAACCTACTGCTGACCAAACAGAAGAGGTTATAATGATGTCACAGTATTGTATGAAAAATGTGAATAGGCAACACATACAAAACTTCACTCCTGAAATCATGTTCACTGGTTAGTTCCTGACTAGCAGCCACCCATCTGTTGTAATAATACCAAAAATCCCTTTATAATAACACTCATTTATGAGCAACATATACTGTGCAGGATGCTTAATTGTAAGAACCTCTATTTTCTTTGCTTGAATTTATTTGTTTCCATAACATCTTCTATAACACACATTTTGTTCATTTAAACAACCTTCACAAGACCTTGTATGCTGAGTTTTGTTCCTACAGTAACATCTGCACCAGGAAATAAGGGTTTACAATAATGAGAACCCCATTTCTCACAGAAAACCAGTATAACCCCATACAAGCTCTACAAGACATACTGGAGAGCATTCGTAGTTTTAGCTCTTGATGTTTTATTGCCTATAGCTGTAGAGCAGCATATCCACATGCATTAGTGCATCATGACTTATCATTGTTTTTAGTAAGTCACTGATGCTCATTCCATTAGGGCAGTAAGCAAGGTCATGCATATGGTTATTACATCATGATTTTTTATCCTTACATACCTACATCTAGAAGGATAAAAAAATATACGCATATTTGTGTATATATATGTTTATGCGTATACACAAAAGGATTTATTTTCACAGGAATACGGAAACAAAACCAAAAAAGGACAGAGTCTATGTATAGAAGGAAAACATGGAAAAAATGCAAGAATCCCTGGAGTTAACATTCTTGTTTTGTCCGTTGCTATATTTCATTTTATTGTCATGTTTGCAGAAACTTAAATGGATAACTTCTGTTATTGCATACAAATGCTGCTTCAGCTCCACCCCATGAAGAACAAAATCAAAACCCTAACCCCAAAATAAATGCTGAAAACTAAATTAGTTTGATTTTTTTTTTTGTCAAAAGGGAAAAAAAGGGAAAAAAATTAAAGGAAAAAAGTACTCATTTTAGAATCTGTTCAGTTTGGAACTTAATAATAAGCATTAATTTTTGAAAGTAAAGACATTAATTTTTTAAGAATATAAAAACCTCTACTAACATATCTTGACTCCATACAATATTTTTTTAAGTATACTTTGAATTCTGTTTGTCAGACACATTGTGATTACATTATTATTAATATTGTTCTATCAATGCTTTTAGAAATTAAAGACACCGAAACCCAAACATGCTGTGCCAGGTCTTGCTTTATAAACAAATACAGCTCCAGAGATGGTGTGTTCATTTCAATTTGAGAAATCATACAGAATATCTCTTTTATATGGTCACGTACAATATCAATATGTTTTCTACATTACTAAACTCCACATGAGGGCAATGAATACTATGCCCAAAAGTCAGCCTACTCTCTGGTTCATTCCTCTAAAAGGCACTGTACTGGAAAAAAAGAGCAAAAAGTCCTAAATAATGAAGCGCACTGCTCCAAACAAGTGGAAACTGTTTCAATACAGTTTCTTATCTCTGAAAGCAAATATTGCCCAAACCATGACAATGTTGTATTAAAACCATCAAAGCCTCATTTAGAGTTAATAGCTTAATATTTAAGGATCACAACAGGGCTTAAGACTGCAATTTCAATGATTTCCTAAAACACTGCTTGTGTACAGTATCAGCCACAGAAGCTCCCAGGCACTCAGCTACTTTACGTAGGGAAGAAAATGAAGACCAACTATTTGGTTTTAAAAATAAATTAAGAAAAATAGTATTCTGAAGGGGATTCTGGAAATCAGTCATAGTACACCGGACTCCTGCTAGTCTATTGCTGTGGCGCTCAGCAACTGTGCCCAAACGCTTAAACATTACCATACTGAAGGCCTAGTATCTGCTCATGCTTACATTGCAAACCTCATGGAGTAATTGTTCCATACTTGGACGTTCTTCAAATGATCAGTAATTGTGCTTGGATGACAAAACAGATGAAATTCTGAAGGAAAGGTGCCTGCCCTCTTAGTTCTTAACCAGAAAAAATCAGTTACAGACTGTCTGGAGGTGCTCCCTTCCTTGCACTGTATTTGAATGGCTTGTGTCAGATTTATTCTTGTCTAAATCCATTTCAGTAAGCTATCCCTACTCCATACTTTAAAAAGGCTCTCAATTTTCAAAAAGTGCAGACATCCTTTATAATTAGGTTGTAAAAGATCTGGACAGACAGTTCCATTCCCCATGCTTTTTCCCCCAACTTTTACTACTTTTACTCCGTCTGCAATTCTTTTCTACAGTTAGACTACTTTACAGGCACATGTAAGGTATATCAATAGCTTTTTTCCCCTCTTCTTTCCCGAAAGTCATGACCTCTCCTGAACAACCACCCCATTTTAGACTCCATAGCTACTGTACATCAAGCACAGAGGTTACTTCACATATGAAGTTATAGTCATGGAGAAGTTCAGCATTTGTTGTGATTAACACAGCCTAGATTCATTCATTTCCTCACCAAACTTTTGGATTTGCATTTCGAAGGCTATGATGCCTTTCTGCTGTGAGAAGGCATCAGGTCTACCAAGAAGCATAACTCACCCACGTCTGCAGTGACCATGGTGGACTGATTCTCTGGTACTGAAACAGAGTTCTGATCCATACTGCGTGAGTCTTCATTAACCTCATGCTGGCTTTGGCTGAGCTCTGACCGCAGTTCCGAATACTCATCTTCCTCCCTGGGAGAGAGAACAAAAGCAGAAATAAAATCCTCTGAGGAAATACGTATCTCTGTGACACTTATTTCAGACCTGTAAGCTGAGCCACAGGATACAATCCACACAAGTATAAGTGTTTTGTCCAGCCAGTAAAGAAGAGTTTATACCCTTTATCGCAAAGCGATTGTGCTGTGCCCGTTAACACCCACTTGCAGCAGCCAGTGCCTGGTTTTCATTGCTTTATTCCCAAGTTCATTGCTGCCCTAGACCTACAAGGAAACAACGGGTGGAACGGAGTGCAAGCAAGGATGTGTGCAAGAAGGACATACACTGCTCTGCAATAACTCCCCAACTGACAATTCTTCATCAGCACAAGTGGCTTTTGAACCCGAAGCAGATTATCAATAACCAATTTTGGTCTCTTTCTCACTTCAAAGACGCCACTGGCTTGTGTGCAAAGCAAGCATGTAACAAAATACTCTTGGGGACAGGTAGGTTTTTCACAGAAATCACAGAATGGTCAGGATTGGAAGGGACCTCTGGAGATCATCTAGTCCACTCCCCCTGCCAGAGCAGCGTCACCTACAACAGGTTGCACAGGACAGTGTCCAGGCGGGTTTTGAATGTCTCCAGAGTGGGAGACTCCACCACCTTTTTCATTTTCTCTTCTCAAAAGGAAGAGAACATATAAGTGAGTGTAGCACTGAACTGCTAGAGTTAGTGGAAAATAAACAGCCTCGATTACCTAGGTTTTAACTTATCAGTCAAGCTGGTTCTACTAAAATAATGGAGGACATGGAATACTTTAGCTAAAGCTAGTGAGCTTAAAAACTAGGGCTTTTCCCTCTTGCTTCTACACGAAGAGTTCAAAGCAATGGGGACGAAGATAAGTAAATGAATAATACCTTTGCCGGAGAACATTTGTAAACATTTTTTCTTTTGATCCACTTGCTGATTCGACTCAGAATTTTTTTTTTTTTCACTCCCATAGTGACTGTTTTGACATTAAAGTAGATATTTTAAACATGAGAAAAAACACCGGCTTATCCAGGTGCAGAGCCCCTCTGATAAGTAAGCCAACAGCCATCATTTTGTTACACACTAAATCAAATGCAGAGATTCATTTTGCTGCAGATTCAGCAGAAAAGTGTGAGAATGGAACTGTCTGGATTTGGAAACAATAAGAAATAGCAAAGAGCTATCTAGGGATCTGAGTCTGGGAGGGGCACCTGTAATGTTAAGTCTGCTGAGTGTATGCTACGTGGTGATGAGTGTTTCTTGCAGAAATATTGCAGAATTTGGCCTGAAGATGTGACTGGATTTGCCAGGCAAAATAGCAGTGAAGATGGCCCATACATACAGGGAACAATGATAGAAGTAAAATCTGCTCTCAGAGTAGCAGAGGTGACAACTTATGAACCAGGCCAACTCAGAAAAAGGAGTTTCAGCTTGCTTGCCAAGCAGAGTTTCCCAAGGTACTGAGATGTAATTTCTACAGGAACTATTATGCTCTTCTATCCCGTAACATTTGCTTCAGTGCAAAGAAAGTCTGACTTTATCAGAAGCGCTTAGTGACTATTATTAAACAAAAATGTAGGTCAGCTGGTTAAAACTGAGATTTAGATCAAAGAAAGGTCCTTAAGGTACCATGCAATACATGTTTAAGAAAGTGTGAGAACAAAATCATGAATAGCAGGAATTAAAGCAGTGTAATGAAGACACATAAGCATGAGTTAATGTTCCATGAACTCGTTTATTATTAGCCACAGCACAAGCCGGTAGTAATTATCTTTAGACAAAAACAATTACCAAGCACTCAAACAGTTGCATTTTTTTTGATCTGAAGGTAATTCATTTTTTTCATTTATGAAACAATTAGTCCTACACTTTTAAAACCTGATTTACTTCTGCAAATGGACAAGAGGCTCTATCGAGCATAAAACAATGCCACACACAATAATGATTTCCCACCACTCTTCTTTTGGCTCTTGTTGCATAGATTTTCTGTTTAAAATCCAACACAGCTTCATCTAGCTAGCACCAGTGCTGGGGTTTTTTTTCAGTTTAAGCACCCTCAGTATCTTGGGGCAGTTGAAGAGTATGTCAGGCTATAGAACTCACACCCTTCCAACAGCTCAAACCAGAAGTTCTGAGTGAACTAATGCTTCTAAGACCTGACCAGAAGGATTAGAAATCTACCTCTGGTAAAGCAACAGCAAGGTCAATTGGTGCCCCCACCACCAGTCTCATAGCGGGCAGCCTGAGGGCTAAAAACACAGGGGGAATTCGAGGGGAGCGATGTATCACAAATACAAATTCTGCCTTTAAAACAAGGTGGCAGCAACAGAAGGTTGAGACTCCCCTTTCCCCAAAACAGAAGAGTCCTCCAGTGGCATTGGAAACACAAGGCGCTCAACAGCTGACCATGACGAGCCACTGAACTCCTTCCACACCACCAAGAAGGTGGAAGCATTACAACATCCTTGTTGCTGCCATCATCATGGGCCCAGCTGGAGAAAGAAGATATTTGTTCTCCTATGGGCCTTGATGGTTCCCAGTTGTTGGAATGTCATGGTGAGTTGTAGGCAACTAAGATCAGATCAAGCTGTTCTAAACACAGAGTAGCCTGGGATCAATATTTGTTCTGGTTTCAGCTGGGATAGAGTTAATTTTCTTCCTAGTAGCTGCCATGATTTGGATTTAGTATGAGAATAATGCTGATAGCACATGTTGTTTTAGCTGTTGCTAAGTAATGTTTATATTAAGTCAAGGACTTTTTCAGCTTCCTATAGAAGCTGAAAGGGAGCACAGACAGGCTAAGCTGGCCAAAGGAATATTCCATACCATAGATGTGATGCTCAGTATAAAAATGGGGGTTGGCCGGGGCAGCAGGAACCCACAATTAATTCTCAGGACAGGCTGGGCAACCAATCATCAGGTGGTGAGAGTGACTTTTGTTGTGTCACTTTATTTTGTATATTGTTTTACCATTATTATCATTATTTCTCTTCAGTTACTTTTCCACTAAACAGCCTTCATCTCAACCCATGTGGTCTTTTTCCCCTTCCTTTTTCTCCCTCTTCTCCCTACCCTACTAGCAGGGATGGGTAGGAGTAAGTGAATGGCTGAATGGTTCTAGTTGCTAGCTGGAGTTAAACCACAACAACGTTGGAGCAAAAAAGCGTGTTTTACAGGTACATCTGCACTAATTCCTCTCCTCATGTTCAGGTGCAACCAAGGATCACAACTGCTGCACAGACAGTGAGGAAAAACTTGATCAAATAGTGAGCAAAACAGGACACTTCCAGCATCCTTTCATGCCACTGACGAGTTCTGCCAGGATGCTGGCAAGGTGCACATTCTCTTCATGGCTGCAAGCAGTGCATAGCTTCACAACTTAGGTGCCAGCAGTTTTTCAACAATCATTTTACTGGAACAAGTATTTTTAAAGCATTATAAGACCATCAGACAGAAAATACTACAGGTGTATGAGCACTGCAGCCCAGAGATTGACTGCTCCCTGTGTACACACACCTGAGGTCCCTCTGAACTAGTCCAGATGTGAACAAATAGAGACACACTTGATACAACGTGGGAATTAACCACTGAAAGCAGACGGGGCTGGGCATTGCATGCTGAAGCCAACACTATCACACCCACACTGCCATTTGAATTGAATCCAAGTAGCTTCCACCTAGCACATATTTAGAAGCCAGAATCAGAACTCCAGATCATTGTGTAAATATGACTACAAGTGCCATGTGTTATTTCTTGTGATGCTGTAGTCTACTCACCCTCCTTCTTCCTCATTAACTCCAACACAACCCACTTTCTGCATATATTTCACATTAAAAGCTGTAAGTCCGAAAAAATGGGTTTACAGCATGGGTTACAAGCTTCTTGACAACTGTTTCAAATAATCCTTAGCAGACACCAATATTCAATGGATTATATTTCTGTTTGGTATTGTTAAAGTTGCTTATTATTTTTAGAGTTGCACACATATACCCAAACAGCCATTGGTTTACAACTAAGAGCAGTTTGATTTTTTCCTTTTGCTGAATGTCAGTCTGACATCTAAGAAAGACTATCAGTCATAGGCTGAAATTGTTTCTGCACAACCAAGTTACAGACGATTTTGTCAGCCAAAGTCACGACTAAGAAAAAAAGACTTGAGTTTGAATGAATCTAAGGCAATATGAAAAACTTCCGAAGTCAGTAATATTCACCATTAATGTAGGCATAATTCCCTTTTAGTACACTACTGTGTAATTTGTAAATCTTTCTGTGCTTCAAAGTTATCAGGTGTACCCTTTATGTCCAAGTATTTACAATACGACTACAACTGGGAAGATGCATTTGATTGGCTTTTCTCTTTTCTAAGCTGTGCACACTTGGAAAGAAAACGCGAGTAGGCATATCCCTTGTCATAGGATGGAGAACCTCTGTAACGCAAAAAATTTGTCTTCTACAAATTGAAACAGCAGAAGTAGGGGTAATGCTGCCACCGGCATCCATTCAACACGCTAACAGGAACCCCAAGCCAGGACCACCTAGTTCACTCTAAAAGAAGCTGACAAAATGTGCTCTGCACAATCACTAGAGGCTCTTCTGCCCAACAGTCTTGCAGAGTTTGACAAAAGCCTGTGGCTTGAGTTTTACAATGAAGTTAAGCGCAACACTAGCCACCTCCTCTCTCTCCCTCCTCACAAGAACAGTGAGACACTGTCAGACAATTATAATTTCCCAAGAAAATACAGCGCCAAGGTTTACATCTCCAGACTGCTCAAATGAAAAAAAGCATCCTCATCATAGTGGAGCACTTCTTTAATGTCTTTTTGCTCCCAAGTTGCTACCTTCTTGAGATGGCAGTGGGTAAATTGTGCACCATCACACATAAAGAACTAGGCAAGTAAGAGGCTCGTCTCCCTCAGTATGAGTATAGGCAACTCTCTTTTTTAGCCTTAATATCAAACCAGTTACAGCTGTATTTCAGCTTTTTTTTTTTGGTGAGGTTGGGCTTCCAAACCAGCTGGGCTGTCCAGAGTAGCAGCAGGGAGATGAGACAACTGCAGATGAATGTTGGCTTGCTCCCACAACCATGGTGACCTCATTTTCTTTAGGGAATACTGGAAGAATGCAGCGCAAGAGCAGCAGCTAACTTCATGTGGCCACACACATGGAACTTGTTGTACCCAAGAAATGGCTAGCAAACCTAGAACAATCTAGAAACTTCTAAAAATACTCCTGTAAGATTACTGTTACTAAGATCAGTCTATCAGATACACCTAGGAAGAGGCACAGGCATTGACATGTGACTTAAGTTCTCTTCTAGGGGTGGCATTACTAAACCACGTGAGCAAAAGCCATTATGCTACAAGCTGTGTAACCACCCTGATATTGCAAGGGCCAAAAAAAACCCCAAAAAACCCCACCAACCCCAAAAAACCACATCACACCAAAAAACAAAGACAGAAAAATTCCTGGAATGGAGAATATTAACTAGCTTATACCGCCTGCCAACGCGCCGCAAACGGTTGCAATACCCTATTCAGATTTAAACACTCTTTCTGCTTACTTTCTGCCCTACTTTCTGAGGGTACTACTCACATTCAAACAAAGAGCTACAAATTCAAAGATTAAAGAGGATAAGGAGGATAGTCAAACACCCTCCGTGAAACTCTGGTTTCTTCTAATTGTTTCCAGAATATTTTTGGGTTTTGGAAGGAACCATGAAGAATGTCATAAAGCAGCAGTACATCAAGCTACATGTTAGTTTATTTTTACAGCCTAAAAATGATACACAAAAATACTGAACAATCTCTGTGTCAGCACTGGGGAAACATTTATCTGTTATGCAGTTAACGTAAACTCAGGAAAACTGTTTCCAGAAAGACAGCCTAAATGTTGTGATAGCGCAAGTAAAGCCTCCACTCAGTAAGACCTGCAGGTATCCAAGAGTCAAATCAAAACTAAAATCCCTCCTGTGCTCTGGTTTAGAGGAAAGTGTAAATGCCGTGGTTCTAGCAGGGCTGTGCTCCCAGAAACCCTTCTCTCAGGACTGTTTTGTTCCAGCTCCGGGGCTCACCATCCCCATAGCCAAGGGTGGAGCGCTGTGAGTCACACCTGTCCGGGCAAGGACAGCAATTTACACCGCCCTTGCTCTGCGGGATGGAACAGCTTCTCAAGAGTGATGCAAGTAGATCCCAGAGCGGATTTACACAGTCACAGCAGGAAGTATCAGTTTTCCTTCTTTCAGTTGTCTTTACAAACCCTATGGAATCCCTCCAATTCTACCTCTGCTTGCCATTTTTAGGAGGAACATTATTCCTCTGTTCCTCAGACACCAAATTGTGGGCCTGCCAAAGAAAACAAGCTATTCCAATCATTAGAGGAAATAAAAAATCCACTAACTTAATAAACATTTTTGATCTTACTAATAAAACCAGAGCAAGTAAAAACAGAGGAGAGATCTTAGCTGTCTGAGCAAAAGGAGCTCTCATACGGTGAGACCAAACAGGTAGGGCATGGCAGTGGTGCAGCATCTGTTGCAGCAGTGCAGTTCTGATGCCTTCAAAAGACTGCAACCCCCAGAGAGGCAGCAAAACTGCACTTTCCATGAGAAGCAGCAGGCACTTCCTGTCAAGCTCAGTGCCTCTTATGCCTCACTTTCCTGTGCATGCCACAGCTGACTTGTTTATGGACATGGTTAAACGTTCACAGTATCCACCGGATTCCAGTATTTCATAAATGAACACCAATTGGCATTTAGCTTGCCACAGGGACTCCAAACAAACAATTTTTATGGATTCTATGTAGTATTTTTCTTAAATGTCATAGAGTTCTTCTGCCAATCAAGAAAAAAAAAATAAAATCAATGCAGCTCTCATGCTTCTCAAATTTTGCTTTACAACCAGTTTTTTCAATTGCTAGAGCTTTACCAGAGAGGAGGGCAGGATGGGCAGCCACTATCATGCTGAAGAAAAAGGTGACTTGAGAAGACACGAATGGAAATTTTGTCTGCAGAGGTATCAAGCATGAATGAACAAGGGAGTGAAAGAGATTTTTTCAGAGAAGTACTACCAGTTTAGAAAATACTTACTTGACAAATCTCACCACAATCATCGCCAGTTATGATCATCTCAGAGTTAGCAATATTTATCTTCTTAAATAACATTAACATAATGTGACTCTATCACTACTTTTACAGTGGTATATATGCACGATTATACTTTCTCTTATTTCTTTTTCTTTTTGCATATTAATATTTTCATGACAGGTAGTTGTAACAACATTGCCTTGTGCTAGTAGAAATGTTTACAAGAAAGAACAAATCAAGCAGTTATCAAAAAACTGGCAGCTAATACCAAGGAACACTGAAAATCTGCTACATGGGTAGGGCACCATGTCCACATTACCTATGAAAGTGTCAAATCTAATTCGATGTTCTCTAGAAAATCCAGGCATTCTAGTAGTTTAGTTGCATCCTCACAAGCTAAACTTTAAGAAGCTGCTTCCTTGTTCTAGTCCAACTTTCTTTAGGTTGAGAATAATGGGTAAAAGCAAGTGATGAAAAGTGTTTTCCTGTAGTCAAATGTAAAGTTTATTTTAACATAGTAACAAGTAATGACGTAGTGTAATACCCCAAGCTTTGCTGCTCCAAGAACAGACAACAATGCAATTTGTACCATTGTGTTTCATCACAAATACCAGTACAAGTAGATGCAAATCCTACTGATATCCATTTGAGCCATATTTCTCACCACAAGTGGCTTAGGTCATCTACAGGATGCCAAAAAATAAAGTTAAATGCAGAGGTGCAGGCTGGGTGGCTACACCTTCCTTTATCCACCCTTGCTATCACTTATGTGGTACCCTGGGATGTACGTTACACTAAAGGAATATTTAGATGATACAGTGCAGTTCTTTGCAGAGCTCGTTAGGCTTCGCAAAGTATGATTTTGCCATAGAGAATGGAGCACTTTTGAGCCTGAGGATGATACTCTGCAGAACACATAGCTTAATTATGGGCAGCTACTCAGTATCAGTCATAATAAGCCTAACTACCTTTAAGTCATAATCAAATTATATTTACAGTATAATTCACACCACGTTCTGCACCATTCTTGTATCGGTCCAGAATTTCCAGGAACTTGCTGTACCTTATTGTTGTTCCCTGTAGTCGATCAATTTTCTTATTTAATTCAGCAATGATACTGTGCAGCTCTGTGATTCGTTCCTCATAGCGTAGTGTTGTTCGCTCCTGCACATCTTCATGCTCTCTCATTAGGTGGGACTGTTCACACTAAAGTGGAGAAAATAGGAACAGAAAGGGTCTTATGAATAACTGCACAGAGAGCAGATACAAGGTGAAAGCACACACCATTAATGATTTTGTTACTCGTCAGACCAACACTGCCTTAGCAAGAGAAAAGACTGATGCAAAATATTGACAGGTACACAATTGCAAGATTTTAGGAACAGAAAGACTATGCAGCGCACTATTTTTTTTTCTAAAGGGCAGAAGTTGCCTTTCCTGCTTAAACAAAAACCACCATTTGCAAATCAAAATAGCTGTAAAAATTTGAATCTGTGAGATTCATGATTCATTGTAAATCTCCAAGGATCTTCCCAACGTGTTCTGAATTAGAAAAAGTCCTAAGGCAGAAACCACACTATTATAATGAAAAGTAGCCACACTTGGAGGTTATGGCTTCTTCTCTAGTATGAGTATTTGTTTTTATGAGCCTTTAAAGATAGCATAGTATAATTTTTATTATTTTAATCCTCTACAATAAAATGCTTATTATTTGAAAAATTAAAAGGCTACCCGGTTGCTTGTTTTTCATACGTATCACAAAATCCTTCTTTTCCTTTCCAATAGAATTTTAAGTCCAGCCTCATGCCAGCAAACAGCCTACTTCAATTACAGCAAACAATTACAGTCTACTGCAATTACAATCCAACACTGCATGCTGATTGAAGTTATGCTTGGTAGTGGCTGAAAAGAGCAAGACTTGCAACTTTTTGCATCTGACCCCCCCTGCCCCCCCGGAAACAGTCATGCCTCCTTACAACCACAGAATCATAGGTACTATGCTGTCAATAAAAGGAAGTTCACAAGCCAACTGACAGTATAAAACCCACACTTGTTAATTGAAGACCTGCAATGTAAGATCCTAGTAGCATTTCTAAAGTCTACAATTTACCGTAATGTATGAGGTCCTCCAACATTGCTGCATCAAAACTTATTTTTTCAAACCAAGTAAACACTCTATACAAACATAACTCCCTCAATCCTTTGTATCATAAATAAGAAAATTATATCCAAACTAACAGGTATGCCAGAATTTTCATAGTTTGCCCTCATATTTTTTGGCCACTCACATTGGCAGCTTGAGAACATAATCTACATAAAAGGCTGCTTGAAAACTAGAATTTACATTGAGCTTCAGTAACATTTTTGTTTTAATTTTTAAATAAAATTTATTTCAATATTTTTAAGTTCCAGGAATAGGCACATTGAAAGGTAGCCCTGACATTAGAGCACCCTCACACAGACTACAACAAAACAGTTTCTTACTCCAGCTGGAGTCAAAAGTACTTTCACCGAAACTAAGACAAAAACACCATATCTTCACACTGAAGAGGAGAGCAAAGGGTCACATTTTAGAAGACTGATAATGTTCACCTGGCTTTTAAGACTCCTTGTTAGCAACAAACATGGTTATACATGTATATTATAATGAGTGTTTATTGTAGGATCATTCCTCAACTTACTTCTCATGTTTCTCTATCTTAACATTGTATCTGGCTGAAGAACTACCACTGCTATCAAAGTGCAGAAATAATACAGAGAAAATGTTTAACAAAAGCTTTAGAACAGATTTAAGTACAATAAAGAGTTGCTTATTCTGCCTTTCTAAACCTAAATTTCCTCTGACACACATTGATACCCACAAACACTACCTAAGCATTATCCAGATCAATCAATTATGTGCACTGTTTTTTTCTTTTAAACCGAAAAGATGTTTCAGATGGAGTGTGTAATGATTATTTTCAGACAATAAATAAAAACCCTATCACAACAATTTTTGTTTTTCTAAGCTGCGCACTGAAAAGCAGAATTTGTTTATCTTGACTGAAGATATATGGACTCTTGCTAATGGACCTCTGCCACATTACCAGATTTGCTTTCTGTTTTCTCCAGCCATTTCTCAGTCACCATTTTTCAGGATAACCATCATTTAGTGACAGACATACTCTGTGAACAAACAGCAATCTGGCAATATAAGACAGCAGCTTCACATTTGATTTTTTAAAAGCTTGCTTGGATTATCTTGGGCAAAAGTAACTGGAAAAGGCAGAAAGGAGACCTCTGTGAAGACAATACATGATATTAAGAGGGACTGCTGCGCCTTGAAGGTGGGTACAGAGTTGGGTCTCATAAGTTCTGGTCAGCCATGACAAGTCTAAACTAAAAAAGGCAAAAGAATCCGAACAATGGAAACATAGTTCAGTATGAATCCCAAAATGCAGCAATGGAAAATCCTTCTGGTTATACAGAATTGCTCCTTATTATGGCACATTCATCTCAAAGCTTAAAAGGGAAAAGAAACAAATGCATGTTTTGGTACCCATTGCTAAAGTCTTTTTCTGGGATACTGAACCTGTTCATCATCCTCTTTAGCTTCTGTGTCCTTTGAGTCTCAGAACAATGATCTGCCACCAGTTCCTATTTCTTTGCAAAGTGTACACATTCAGCTTTTGCAATTTATTTGCATGTCAGTCACACAACCTTTTTAAGATAAATACCTTACACGCTTTTCCTCATACCTCTTCCAGCCTCATACTTAAGCTCTGATCAAAACCATTAAGAGCTCTAATTCTCTAAGAAAGCAAACACAGGGATAATCCACAGAGAGGCTGCAAAAGATGAGCAATTGTTGAGGTCAGGAGGGAAGCACAGTTCTCGGTTTAAGTGACCCTTGGCTGGTTTTTGGTACAGACCTAAAAGGTTATTTCAATTACAGTATAAATTAACAATGCCTGGAAACACCCTTGTCTGACCTCTTGATGCTGGGAAACAACCACAACAGCAAGAAGAGTATGAGGGAGGATGATAAGGGAAAATATTTTAACCCAAGGATATTGTCTCAACACATGATTCTACTGCCTATTAATGTACATAAATTCCGAGAACAAGAAACACCACCAGAGCAAACCTTTACGTTAAATTTGTAGCGTTCAGTCAGAGGACAAAAAAAGAACGACCAGCAGCAGTGCTTGCTAAAAGATCCTGCACTGCCTCAGGCCCTGCGGAGACAAACACTGGCTATGGCATTGTTCACGAAGAACACAAGTCATCACCTGAATGAGCCACAATGATAAACCCGTCTAACAGGCTCACAGGAGCTAAAAATCTTCACTCAGCTAATACAGTATTTTAATTTAAGAGGAGTGGCAGATTTTAAAGTGAGAATCCATTCGTCTAATTTTAGGTATAAACAGAAGTCCATTGTGCCAAATCCTCAATCCCCAAAACATGCATGGTCAGAATGAATCATTTGGTGGTATACTCTGTCTATACTTGATGCGGAAGAAGAAGTGTAAGTACACAGGACTAACCCATCTGAGATAAGGACATCACACAACAGAATGAGCAATTTCAAAGTTCACCTGAACACCATGAATTTCTATTTCAAGTTACTTTGTTAAATGAGAAACTGAAGCCTTCCTGTGAAGTTCATGTGTTCTTATAGGACTATAGAATATTAGTTTTATTCTTACACTGAAATTCTGCTGTCCCCCCCTATATTCTCAATAATCTAGAGGATAGTAAAGAATTATTACTGCAGTAATGGGCCTTATTGCTATGTGACAGAGCAACCAGAATGATGCAGCACAATCTTTGTTACCCTGTGTCTACAGTTGTTATAAAATTCCAAAATTACAAGGACTAAGCACAAAGAATGAGAAAGCAGGACTACGTTGTGAAAGGAGATAAACTGATAAGAAAGATGTAGTAAGTGAATTGTCTATTCTTGTTGTATTTGCTGAAACATTCAGCATGTTATTAAATCCCACGTTCTATCATAACACTGCAGAACTCAGTATCACAGGATGAAGGAAATGCCAAGAATGTAGATGGATTAGAAAGAAGATTAGATAAATCCATGGAGGACAGGACCATAGAGGACTATTAAATGAGATGCAGCCACCTGCTCACAGATGTTGGCAGAAAGGTGGGGGAGTATGAAGGAGGGCAACTCTTTATATGCATTTCTTATGCTCTCCCTTCAGACATGCACTATTTATCACTACCAAAGCCAGGTTACCGTGCCAGACAGAGCTAGTAGAAAGCACTACTTTTCTTCTCATAACCACAGAAAGATTTTTGGAAGACATTAGTTGTGGTTGACCAGTACTTTACAGCATATTTCATTCAAGGGATCACTCTGTTGCCAAATTGTCCACTGATACAAAGACAGATACAAGCAGATCTCATGTCTTACTGAAATAATAGAAGGGTGTAGGCAAACGCTATAGCAGGTCTCCACAGACTGCAGTTTTGGAAAGGAGCATGATAGAACAACCGGTAACACATTACGTCCTTTCACAAAATTTTAAGCACAGGCTATCCAACTATCTTTCTTCACCATTTGTCATCTATTACTGGAATCATCTCTGCTCTGCACATCACTCATCCCTTCTTCCAAAGTGCCTCACATGCCTCATGAAATGATGGGAAAGGTATTACCAAAAATGTGTTTTTAAGAGCTATTTGTTCCAGAGAGCATTTACCACGCCAGACGAAATTAAACATGTGCTGCCTTTGTAAGTATAGTCCAGATGCAGAATAGAGATTTAATACTTACCCACTAGCATCTGAATATGGTTATGCAGAACCTCAAACACCTCTTATTTAATTTATGGCTTCTTAACCTCTGATTTGCATTAGTGAGGAAGAAGTGCATTAGACAGAGGTTGTAGAGGAAAAAAATGATATGATATGATACATGATACAAATTTGGATGAATCTCTGTGGAGTGGGAGGAAGAGTTCAAAAAATTATGTTAAGTGGAGCATCTACTTGGAAGCAATGCAGTTAGAAAAAGAAGAAAAGGTAAAGTGGCTTCACCAGAGCCTGTCTTAGTACTTAAACAAAGCCAATACATTGAATATATGAGTTGTGCTTGTTTAATGGCTTATTCCTTGAGAAAGATTGTATCTTACTTAATACACAACCCCAAAAATTTCTACCCACTTAAGGGCTTTTTAAAAAAAATACTGAAAAGACCTAAAACATTAAAACTTTATAGAAATTGTTCATTAAAAAAGTATTTTTTTTAATCTGAAAGCTAGCTAGCACACTAGCTTCAGATATTCTGATTTTGTATTATTCACAGTTCATGTAGCAGTCATCACTATGCTAGCATTCACAAGCATACAGCCCAAGATCATGTAAAAACCCTCAGCATTATAAATTGAACACTGCATATGCATGCATAATTGGTAACCCATCACAGAAAACACCAATCAATCTTGAGCCAACAGAGCACATGTTAATTGGGATTAAGCCCTTAATCCCAGCCACCATCAGTGGGGATTCATGACTGTATGGGACCACCTACAAGGCACTCTTCATTGGCTGAGAGACGGTATGTGTATTTTTAAACAAAGATCTGGAAATGAAAATAAAATCCTGACAAAAACCTCTGATTAGCACAAGACCCTGCAGAGTTATAAATAACAACAAAGTCAGTGTAGTCATGCGGAATGATGCGGATCGTTTGGATACGGTGGATCCATCTGACTGTTCAATGATTGTCAAATGCAGCCTCATATCAAACTGTATGTCAGAAAGAGGACTCTAACTCTGAGTGCAGTAGAAATCAGAAAAGGCTCTCAGGATTATAGCTAATAAACAATGTTAAGTCCCAGTGTGGCTCTGGCTCACATACTGAGGGGAATAAAAACACGGAAGCTTTTATTTCTGGATGTTGCATTGATGGTCTGCAATAAGAGTATCACTTACAAGCCCCAAAACCTTAAAGGCAGCCGAAAAAATATCAGGGAATGCAGACAAGGGCCAAAATATATTTGGAGGATTGAAGTAAGAGCCTAAAAATTTACACTGCTTAAACTTTTTTGCATTTGGCTTGAGTTTAAGTAACCTGCAACCCCCTACCAAAATGTAGTGAAGACTCTAAATTTGCAAAATCACAGAATGGCTGAGGTTGACAGGGACCTCTGGAGGTCATTCATCCAACCCCTTACCCAACTCAAGGAGGGCCACCTAGAGCAGGTTGCCCAAGACCAGGTCCAGGTGGCTTGAGTACTTCCAAGGCTGTAGATTCCACAACCTCTTTGGGGAACAAATAAGATGCTATACTTTACAGGACAAAATGCTACGCGAGTATAAATTGGTATGTATTTTGAATTAGTTTTGAAATGTAAAGTACTTATAAAATGTATTTGCCAGAATGACAGTATCTGGAAACAAAGATTTTGTTTATAGAAGAGAGAAGTATTAAGAACAGTTCAGTTCTCATTGTTTGCATTTGCCTCTCTACATTTACCTTGATCTGAAAAGATTTTTTTTTTTTTTTAAGAGCTGTGAAAGCATTAGAGTTCAGATCTTATTCTTACTTAATCCCTTGGCTTTCCACTGGCTGTGTTTTCCACAACAGATACATACAAACTGGCTTACTAAAAGCTAGACTGAGATCACAAGTCATTTCTCACATACCACCAAAGCACTGCCAATTGGCAATAGCTTTTGATCAGTGTTAATTTGTGCCGTGTTTGAATCTGACCCAGGAGTGGAAGGATCTGCAATCAGTTACCTAATCCACTGAGAGTATGCTGCAATTTTTATACTCTAAAATATTTCAAGGCAGTCGCTGTTTATATTGGCTTCAAAACAAAAGTAATCTAATTCTTTCTTGCTGTTTTTTTAGAAGAACATAAAACTTAAACCAGAACATAAAACTTAAAACCCACGGCAACTACGTTTCTTGCAGTCTTAAAATTCTTTTCACTTGTGACATTGTTCAGATATTTTATCCTCTCCCCACATACCATATTCCTCTCTGAAGAACAAGGACAACACACAATCAACGACCCTCTTCAGAATCTTGAACTATTGCTCACCTGCGCTTTTGCCAATTTCTTTTCCAACAGGTCACGCTCCCTTTCTGTTTGTTGTAGACGTTTATTAAGCTCCACTATGTCTCCCTTTAACGAAGCCAGGGCTGCTAAATGAAGCTAGAAGACAAAAGGAAAGAAACAAATTAACCAATTCACAAGGCATATAGCAATAGCATTTGAAAGAAGACATAGTATTATACAGCAGCTGCAATATCTGTGGATTTCTGCAGTAGTTAATAGGAACTTCAGTGTAACAAAAGAAATCTACTTGCTACTAAATACTTTTTACATGGAATTCTCCTGTCCAGACAGCACAGACATTCACTGATCAGAAAACACATTATAAGGATAAATACAATGGACTATAATTCAGCTGGAAACGTGTAGATTAGTTCTAACATTAGTTTAATAAGAAGTAGCCCGAGTCTTGTGTTACAAAACCTTACATTAAATGTCAACTCAGATTTGTATTATAAAAGAAGGTGCATCATGTTTTGATGCCTCCAGACATATAGAGGTTATCAGTTTGGGGAAGGGAGTAACTCCACGCATAGGATTTGGTTTTATTTCGCAACTAAAGCTTACTCCACTTTGAGCTCCTGCTCTGTAGTTGTTCTCTTTGGTCCCATGTCAGTGAGTTTCACTGATTCTAATCTACTGAAGCCACACATGAAGAACCTGAACCATTTTTCTTTCTGCAGTAGACCCTTTTGACGAAAGGCACGTTCTACATTTGGAAATATGTAACACACTAGGATAACTAACACCATCTAAATTACCTTAGCTACATAACTTAGAAATCAAGAACAATTCTTAGAAGAATTCTATACCTGTAACTCATTCACACTCTCTTCCTGTCCTTAAACATCCTATTCACCATTACACTGAAGGCATCAGCTATCATTCAACACTCAGTACTGACAACTACAACCAAAAAGTCCAGGAGAAAAACTAGCCACTAATCCTGAAGTCTGTCTTTGTAGTAGTAAAGAAACAACTCCAAGTTATACTGGCTGAGAAAACAAGAGTGACCAGACCAAGTAACACAGCACACACCGCTCAGCTGCCAAGATTCAGTCTGAAACACAGACCCTGTTTCTAGTCCTTCAGCCAGCTTCAGTCCTTTACTCTGACATTTTATTGGGCGGGTCACTTTTAAGCTATTTTTCTTGTTCCATTTCCAGTCAATCTGCTAATGAGTCCTATTTTGATATCAGTTTTACCTTTACAATACTGTAAGCCAGCAAAACCATAAGTGTTTTCACATACTGATGTGTGAAAGTAGATGTGTGACAGCAGAGAGACTAGATAATTTGGCAACAGCTCCTTCACATACAGTATTCCCATTGTCATAGAAAAGGCCACCTCTGGCTTCAAGATGGAAAACAATTTTGTAAAGATTTTTAGATGCGAATTCTGCAGTTTTTAAGTGCAGCCAACTATTTATGCTAGAAGCTCTGGACATCCTCATTTGTAAGTTCAGTCAACAGCATTTTTATTATGTCAGCTACAAAAACATCTTGCACATTTCAGTACAAATATACACGTACACAAATTTATGTTGCAGTAGGTTTAAGATTCTTGAGGCAACCTCATTTTTCAAGCGAAAAAACAGTAATTCAGGCCTGCTACGGGCGTATGCTACATAGATTCTTTCAAGTAAGTACACTGAAATCTCTTAATAAACCCAGAAATACCATTAATATCTTCAAGGATTCTTGGCTTTCAGCAGAAGGCCTTCCTTCCTACCATAGGAAGGTATGTACTGTTTTTACAGTGTGGAGAAACAAGAACCGGCCTAATTGTACCAATCTGTTCATAATTGACTTCCAATTTTCAGGAAAGCTGGTGAATTTATAAGCTACTGTTTCACCTTATTTCCTTTACAGTGGGGAAGTGCTGCAATGAAGCTCACCAGTTTGTTCATTAGATCTTGCATCTTTCACCACAGCTTTCAAATAACACAGGAAAAATTGGCTACAATTCTCTAAATTGAATAAAACAATGCTACACAGTCAAGTAAGTATCATTCCCTTCCGTACACTATAATTAAATGATCACCAGCTGTGGTTTTAATTAAATACCACACCAATAATGTCCATATACATGGTGCTGTAATATAAAAAGGACACTGTTAATTTAAAAATCTCAATGAAAACCAACTTGTTTTCCAAACAGTGGAACCAATGAGGCAGACTTCCTATGGATTTGCCTTTGTCCTCTTCCAACACTGCAGTCAGCTCATCTCTTCTTCACGTCCCCTAGCACACCCTAAACTGGGTAAGAAACAGCATTATTTGTGTCTAGTTTTACAGCAACGCTGCTGCCTGGCCTGGCAGCTTCTGCCAAACAGAGGTATCCAACACATCAGTTACATGAGCCTCCCTATTCAATATCGGGTCTCTCCTCTCCAAGTATCCAAAGGATTTCTTTACTAATTACAACGGAAATCCATTGCATCCTTTACTATCAAAAATTATCCTTTCCTTTAATAAATTGGACTGGTCCGGTTTCCAACTACTAATAAAACAAACAAACAAAAAAACCCACCAAAACCAGAAAGTTACTGAAAAGGCAGACCAGACAACAGGAATTTATCATACACGGAGGAGGGCTGTTTGGGATACTCTTTGGTTTCATGTACGTACGCAGTGCACACAGCAGTAAGTCATATGCAACTGGTGCCTCCCGCTACTACTGTGACACATGGTAAGGTTAACACTGCTAGTATAGCTGTGTATTCTTGGCACCACCAAGCTCTCCTCCCCAATTCCTTAAAAAAAGGTGTTACAAAGTATTGCCGCATCCTCCCTTAAAGCGTGAGCGTTCCCACAGACCATGCTTCCCAGTGTGTTTGTATAGCACACAGCAGGGTGGGAACTGGAACAGGGATCTCTGGATGTTCCTGTAACACAAACAAGGAAACATCTGAGCAAAGAGCTACCGTCAACAAAAAAAAGTCATTCTGGGGAAAAAAAAAAAGCTCACATGTAGAATTCAAATTTAATAATCCAGGCTATTAAAGTTGGAAATATTCCATTTTAAAAATCTCAACCAGAAGGCAGTAGGTCAGTCACGACTGTAACTCTGCAGCATTGAATCACTACAAGATATGACAACTGAGAAAGAGAGAGAAGAATGGAGGTAGCCATATGGCATACCGCTTTTTTTCTCCCCTCAGCAAACAGTGACAGACAAAGCAGAGTTACCATCACTGACTTTCATAACAGACATTTACAGTTCAAGGTGGGCTGCCTTTTAGTGACACGAGATTAAGAAACATATCAAAAACTCAATAGTTTGTAAAAATCAACACAAACACCAGAAAGATTTCTGTTTGTAAAACACATTGGCCTGAACCTTTAGGAACAGCTCCCACAGAGAACTACTTCATACACAGAGAACAGTTCATTGACAAAGCCTGCATTGTTCATAAACTTTATACTGATCCAATACAGCTAGTATTGACTTCCACCAGGAGAAAACCCACTATGTGATGCTGACGCACCCAAACTGTCCAACAGGACAGGCAAGGTCAACATATGGGAGAGCAATGATTGAAAAGGGATCAGATAAGCCAACATGCTTCTCTACTATCATCCAAGGAAATAAGAATACGTTCAGAAAATAAATTAGACGCATACTATTAATAAAAAATGCATCACCTAGCTTAGCTTAGAAGCTACAATTTCTATTAAATTTTCTGCAAGGACAACAGCAGGTTGTTTACTGAAACATATATACACCATATTTTATACCCTACACTATCCTGCCAGGTTTTTATATATTAAATATACAATAACAATTATTATTTATTAGTATACATTTTTATTATTAATTATAAAAAATAACAAACTGTGCATAGCATGCTACCTTTAAAATGCAAACCACTTTACAGCTGAGTTTTGAAAGATATAATAATTTAAAAAAAAAAATAAGTTCAAGCTTAGGAAAAGCAACGTCCTGACCTCTCTTCCAGCCTCCTTGATGACTGCAGTTTCTTCCCCATTATACCTGCTTCTACAAACATCTCATACAATACCACAGACATGATTTAATGATCTGTATTTTGCACAGTGCTTTAAACGCTGCTTTGGGTGCCACGTTTTTTGAAATATTCTATGTGGGTACAATTAAAAGCAGTATTTGCTGGCAGGCAGGTTTCTCAAGAATGTTGTGGGAAAAGAATACAAAAGCGGATGGGACAGTAATATGAACTAAATGCCAAGGAAGCAGGGGACTACTGACATGTCTGTAGTACATATTGCTGGAAGTGTTCTGAGGCCACAAACAAAACAAGAGAAAGATGCGAAGGGCAATGAAGGAGGGTGCTGAAAAAATGAGAGATTAAGGTTAAAGCACTGCAAAGCAGTGCAATTACTCTTACATTCAGCTTTCTTCCCTGCCATTGTGAACTGTGATCCTCATCAGTAAGTTTGAACCACATTCTTCTTTCCCTCAGCCTGGAACCAGACTAATTAAACCAGTTGTACTCACTGCATATGTTTGCTATCTTCAAGAAGAGAAATCTCAAAAACGACCCAAGCACATCCTTCTCTGTGAAGTTAAAGAACCAATCTTATCTTTTTTCCTCTTGTTTCCTGCCTTCCTTGGCTACAGTACTGCTGCACATCAGCTTGGGAATAGAGGTTCAGAAACGTAACCTCTGACATAACATGGGACCCATAAAAGCATCAAGATCATGGTAAGGAGATATCAACCCATACACCAACACAAAGCAGCCAAACACCAAAAGACCAATTTATTTGTTCTATGTGTGCCTTCCGTGACTGACCGGTAGAGCCGTACCATGGAAGAAGGTTCAGAGGAGATGGGCCACATGAAGGGCCATGTGCCTGTGAAGATCAGGGAAGAATGCAGGCTGGGACTGATCACAGCTGTTGCAAAGAAGCTGACTTGATCTCAACACCAAGGGGACCCGAGTGTGGTCTTCGTTTGAGGTAAACAGCTATCAACAGCTGAGTGGGTCTGCTAGTGCTGTAAAGGTTTCTCCCTGAGGTCATTAAAAGAGTGTGAATGTCTCCCTGGGTTAGCCAGGCCAACAAGGGGGAGGTATATATGTGGCTCAGCACAATATAGCGTATAAAAACCAGAAA